TCGTCTTACACACACAGCGGGCATGGCCTTATCGGAGAGGTTTGAAGGAAAGAAGGGAGGGGGAGAGAAGCGAGAAGAGTGAGAACACGTACCGGGAATACTCGACGCCGGCGTAGGTGTACTGCTTATCGGCGCCGCTGCTGCAGAAGCTGAGGCATAGCGGCACCGTCATATTGCCCTCCATGACCTTGGATGCGCCGCCCGAGAGAGCGCGCTCGTGGGCCGTGTTGGGGAGGTCGTTTGTCTCGTTGTAGCAGCCTTGGTACTTGTACTTGTCGGAGCCCGTGTAGATTGAGAGCTGGGCCGCCGTGAGGGGCGCGAGGATGGCGAGGACGGCGAGGAGGAGGAGACGGGAGAGAAGGGAGTTGCGGGCCATTGTTGTCGTTTTGGGGTGTTTCTTGGAAATAAGGCTGTAGTTGGATGCGATTGTAGTCGGGGGACCTCGTTTCTGTCCTTCTCTTGCTATCTATTGAGTCTTTCTTGGTGAAGCTGTGGGAACTTCGGCAGTGGCGGGATCGTCGAGTATTGTTTCTTTGCGCGCTGAGTAGAAGACGGTTATCGACGCTTATCTGGAACCAAACAATGGCACACCGGATATCATAAATCGTAAGGGGAGATTGGGACACGGGTATGGCGTATTCTCATGCTAAGGTCATCTCTTGGTCGGTTCTCCTTCAAGTCGTCCAAACACAAAACACCGAAATGAGCGAATGAGTGAAGCAAAGGAGCGCGGAGGCAAGACGAATGAGAGAGAAAAATGATAAGCAGGCTAAATCACCTTTATTCCGTCCGGGCGGCGCGAAACCCCTTCAAGGAGATTTGCACACCATCACTGCGCCGCGATGAGGCTGGAAGCCATTGGTGGTTTGGGTTTAGTGCCCAGACGCTACCGCACCCTTTCGATAAACCTCACAAACGGGAAAATCTCACATTCAGGTCCCTCAGGAACGGTCCAGTGGGTTCTTAGCGTCCGGGAGCCCGCTAGAGGTCTCGCGTGGTTTGCATAGGCTCAAAAACGCACATTTCAGGGGAGGGCCCTTGTTCGCACTTCGGGAGAATAGTGAGTTGTCTCCACTACAGCTGAAGTTTGGGGCGTGTTCTAGACCAGATTGAGACGGGCGAGAACGATCTCTTTGGGTGGGAGTTGGGTGTGGTCCGTGGGCGAGCCCGGCGCCGGGGTTTGATGATGAGGGCGAAGATCTCAGCTGTTTCCACTACCAAGAATGTGAAGCATACATTTTCTCTCGTGAGGCTTTGGCATTTTCTTGTAATATAGTCACTTGATGAACTCAAATGGCATGCCATTATGTTGTAGTTACTATCATTATTGTGAATGTCTCGTTTCGCATCCTATCTCATTATCATAGTTTGAACCAAGAGACGAATTACCACTATCCATGGTCTGTTCTAATTAGACCGAGGGGCGCACCGGGCGGCAGATGTTTTCCAACGTCAACATATTAGCTGCCAATCTGCATTTCACTCTCTTTTCGGTCTCTTCTTCCCACAAACACGCATATGGGTGGCCTTCAACAGCTGGCCGCTGGCTTCTGATTCCACCATGATAACGACTCACTGCAGTCTTTCAGAATGACCGAGTGTCTGGCTTCGACAGAGGTCCTCTGGTAAGCGATTGATATGGATCACCTCCGATGATCCTTGTCCTCTTCTTTCTTGAAGAAACAATCGACAGCTGAGCTGCCTTGGACTTGGCCATCGCGTTCCGTGCTGGTGTGTTCTGAGAGTACGAGAACCCACAGCATCGGACCGGCTGTGTTGCAGCATTACTTGCTGTCTGACAGAAGCCCATCCAGTTCGGCGACGCTAGTCTCGGCGAAGTTTGTGTATACCCTCAGCTCGTAATCGCTCAGATACGTTTGCGCGTTGCCTTCGTCTTCAATCATCTATTATCACTTCAACCCATCAGAGTCGTAATCACAATGCGTCACTTTGACCAGCGGTAGTTAGCACAGGTACGCACACTACCCCTAACCCGGGGCCTCCAGGAAGCAACTTACAAAGCGCTAATTTCCAAGTCTCCGAATATCCTCGCCTTGAGGGTAACCTCAATATCAAGATTCAACCCCAGATGTACCGCAAACCCTCGGCTCTCGGACCCGGCATGCTTGTGCTGTTGTTGCCGGACGGGTCTTGTCTTCCGGGACCTTCGCCGTCCCCGGCCGAGATTTTGACTAATCTGTCTCATCGGAAACTCTCTTTCGGATTCGGTTTCCGACATTGACATGTCCGTCGACGGCCCCGCTAATACGGCCGCGGGCGGCGGGGCGGGAAGCTCGTAGTCTATCATCGGCTTATCATCGTCTGGAATTCGTGTCGGGTCCTTATTGTTGGTGTTGTCCTCATCATCTCCGCCCATGTCGATGAATGATGTTTGTTCGACTGGTAGGGAGTTGTCAAATGGCATCGGGCACCATATGAATCTATCGTCGGCCAGAGGCTCTACGGAGCCGTACATTTCTTTCGGCAGCCATACTGTCAAGCTGTCGCGTTTTGCCATCTCTTCTGCTTTTCTCTCTCTGTTCCTTTCTATAGCGAGTGTAGTATAAGCGAGTGAAGTGTAAGTACGTAAAAAGAACAGCGAGAGTCAAGAAGTGAGAGACTGTCAAGAATTTGGCCAAAAGGATAGATGCATTTCTATCCAGAAATGGGGAAACAGTCATCTAAGTACGTCTCCGGCCCAAACAGACCAACTCTTTCATCATATCCCCCAACATCAACCACCATCAGCAACGAGCCAGCACCTCACAAAATCTTGGCACACAGCACCGAGCAGGATTCGAATAGCCTGGCCGGCCCTCTCACCAGTGACCACTTGGACCAGGTATCACTGCACCGCTCAATGAAATCATGGATGGGCCCGGGTGGTATTCGCTTCCCAGGGTAGTCAAGAATGCCGCGGGTGCGCCCCCCGGAGCTCTGGCCAAGAATCGACCGAGATCTGCAAGAAAGCCGATCGCTAGAAGGTGTGGAACCCGAACCGCCCCCAACGGTGCAAGAAAACCCGGATTTTTGGCATTCCATTTCGAAGGGTCCTCTGCTTGCCTGGCACCACAAGCAAATAAGCACGCCGCTGATGACATCCTAACACCACGTCGCTGTCGATTCGACCCGTTTTATTCTTCCATCTGCTTGGGTATCACTACCACTACCGGCAACGAAGTAGACCACTAACTCCCGAGTGCTAATTTTGGAAACGGCTCAGGGGTCTTAACCGTCGTCGTTCAGATCGGAGGCTGAACTACATTGACCACCTACTTTGCTGATCAACGGTCCTCCTCACTCAATGGGAGCCCTTCTGCCGGGTTGATCAGAGCCCCTTCATCTTCCCAGTCATGGAAGCCAGCCTCGGTGGAGTATAGAGGCAAAGCCAGTTTTCAATACACCTTGCTTTTTTGTGCACTACGTAAAGCTAGCCGCCGCATTGAGATCTACTATGTGATCGATTTCTGCAGCCCACAGAGGAAGCTCACTACACCTTTCCGAACCAGTAGCTTGATGGATGCCATGGGTAGTCATGAGAAGCTCTCCCACGCGAACTTCAAGCATCATGACAAGGTTCACAGGCTCTACTGATGCAGCCGTTACGGGACGTCCGTTACATCCTCGACAAAGGCAACAGCAACTCATGTTGTCTTTCACCTATTCACACATCTATGCACACAAACCCTTCAACCAAGGATCACAGAATCCCCTTAAAGTTCAAAGTCACTTGATCAAACCAGAGCCTCTCGAACTTTCACACAATTCCGGCAGTGGAAAGGCATGGTCCATAAGGGGACTACTCATATCGGATCGCATCTCTTATTTATCTTCCACACATCCATGTGCAGAACTTTTTTTTAAAAAGGTCCAAACAGTAATCTTTTAGTTCAAAGCGAGCTCAAACACCCAAAAACCCATTCTCAGTAGGCTGCTAGTAGGGAAAGCCATCATGAATGCGCGGGTACTCTTCCCTTACTGATACTCCTTCCTTCATTGCCACAATGCATCACTCATCGACTTGCCGTTAAACCCAGCCCAAGCGGCCCCTAATCCCAACTCGACTACCCCTTACCCTTAGCTATTCCGCGTTCTGCTCGTATAATCTCACGACTTGGATTCTGAGAAGCAAAATACGTCCAAGTCATGATTCTCCGACTTGATGTTCCTCGGGAAGCGGTGGGAATGAACTCCTGATGAACAGAAAAGAAACAAGTTGCTTAGAAAATGCCCTTTTATAGGCGACCATCCAGGGTTGCCAGTTCAAGGTCCGCGCTTCCGACCAGGACGGTCTATGATGGGCGGAATGTCGGAGTATCGTTCAATTTCCTTTCTTTTAATATACCAACTGTCTATCGCCTGCCGAATGCATATCATACCCATGGCTCGCTCCTTCTTAAAATGATTTCTACAGCCAAGGCGGTCCTGGCGAGCTCAACAAGATTACAACCGTCCATCTGTTTATACATCGCTCCCCACTGCCGTTTTCGAGGGATCCTCAGATGCGAAAACTTTCGCAGAATGAGGTAGGCATCGTGGCGGGCCAGGAATCAGGGCATCGCACAACGAACTTTCTTAAGATCTCCATGAGCGTCCTTAAAGCGGATGGACACGTGGAAGGCAAAATAACCTCAAAAACTTGAATATGTAGTATAATGCGTGTGTGCGTAAAGAAATTGGTATCATAGATCGACGCACCAACCTCACATCGATCTCAAGCGAGTGAGGAGCTACAAGTTTCCTATCTTTCTTTATAGCAGAGTCAACAAGGCAATAGCATGCCATGGAAGCCATAATAATACCGCTTTTCCCTCCCGTATCTGAATCGTCAATACAATAGGTACAGCCCAGTGGCTTCCACTCTATCTTTCAAACGTATTCTTCCATGCCCCAACTCCGGTGCTATACTTCCAATCATGAAGATTCAAACATGCAAAAAGCCTTGGAGCAATTGTCGCCGCATCACAATACCTCCAATGAGCCAACATTCAATAGTGTTCTCACATCACAACACACTTCTTATCCTTCTCTGATTTACCATGAGTGGCATTCCTACTAGACGTGGAAACTTCCGTCCACGCAGTAGAGCTCGCGACCTCGTGATCAACCTGCTTCTTCTTTTTCTTCTTCTTTTGGGAACCATTCCAACCGCGCCGTTTCGCGTCCTTGATGTTCTTAGCTGCACTCCGCTCGGCACGACTGGGTCTTCTGTTGACCGAAGAATGCGACTGCCGGCCCGCAGACGACGACGGCGCCTGTAACCATGCCGGCATCAGACTTCTGCTGCCAGAAGCTTCAGGCCGGTTTGTGGAGTTTGTGCTGTATATCGTTTCGAGACGTTCCACTGTTGGTCGTACCGGGCCCGATTGGGTTGGGCGTGGATGACGCGGGATCGGGGCCAGTAGAGGCATCTCGGTTCTCCGGTTCGATTGCTGACGAGTAGGCGCATCGAATGCGCCAGTGACGCCGCTAGGTGTGCTGATAATCAAGGGTTGGTCTTCGAACTGTGATTCGGCAACTTGAGTCTGGTTCTGAGCTTGTCCCTGGGGTTCTGAAGCAGGCTGCGAGACAGGCTGTGGGACAGATGCCCGACGAGATCCAGGCCGGCGGCTTCCCACTGGTACGCGCTGGACTGAACTGAAGTTTCCAGAAAACCGTCTAGATGGAGGCAGCTGCTCATGGCCCCGCAGACTGGCCAATTGATCTGCCATGGGGAATGGTGGCAGTGAAGACCCGGCAATGTCGTCGACTCTTGCGTCAGTCGCAGGAGCGGAGTAGGGGTGGCTGTTTAAGGGACCGCCATCTGGACGAAGGTGAGATCCATCACCTGGCTGCGCAGATCTAGGCCAAGTTGACGCATTGGAAAGGCGTCTGACTAACGGCAAGTCAGTAGTAGATGCTGATTGTGGCTGTCGCAGCCCCGCAGTATTTGCAGAGGAGCCTGATGGAATCTCCAAACCCAGCGAGGGAGGCGCCTGAACCTGCTGAGCGACCGGGGATACGACTGATTGCTCGGGAGAAACTGCCTCAGAATCTTGGTGTGTCCCAGAACTTGATGGTCGAGCCTCTGAAACTTGGCTGACCATCCGCTGGTCGTCAGGAGAGATGGCATGAGTTTCGCTCTGTCTTCTCGCCGCCATCCGTGGGGAGTCTGGTGGCGAGACGTCATAGATATCATCGTCAAGATCAACATGGGCCGAAGGGCTGTGCGTCGGACGAACTGCCGAATCTGCAGTGCGCGGCCGGCTCATAAGCGTCGAGTCACTAGCTATACGCAGATGATAGCTGGCATTAGCCGGGGGGCTGTTGACCGGCTCTTGATAGCTTAGAGGGCGGCCTGATGATTGAGGTAGAGCAGGTCGCGTCGGGAGAGCCCACGCCGATGCGCCAATGGCAGGCGCGGCTGTTTGGGTCCTCGCTGGCTGACTCGGTATCTGCACACCGCCAGGTGTAATGACAGCGTTCCGTAGGAAAGAGGGCAAGTCACCGGGGTCGTCCTTTTGGTAGGGAGGCGGCGGTGGAACCCAGTTGTCGGCGTCGCTCTCGTGAGGATGCTCACGTCGGCCGTCAGCTCGCCGATACTCTACCGGTCCAGCGGCCGGCGGTTGCGGGTGGCGGCTTCGGTTCATAGCAGCAGCAGTGGCAGCGCGACGGAGAGTGTTGGTGGAGCGGGGCCCGTCATGCGAGTAAGGGGCTTCGACTGCCTCCTCTGCCTCTTCTTCTCCAATCATCGAGGCGGTCTCGCCTGCCCCAGGCGCCGAAGGTGAGGTTGGCTCTTGCACACTGATACGTGGGGCTGCTCCAATTCGCCTCGGAACGAGAGGGTCGTCCTCGACGTTATCGTTGTCGGCTTGTCGTTCTTCTCGGGGTTGTGGCATGGGCGGCATCGGTGGCATCGACGGCATAGACGGCAAAGGGTTGCTCCGGGCTGCAGCGCTCGTAGCTGCACGCATCAAGGCACCGCGATCTCCCCGTTTCTGGGCCACAGTCCTGCGACGTACAATAGCCACTTCGGTATCGATATCTCTTTGCTCCTCTTCGAGCACCTCAGGCTCCTTGGTGCCCACTTCAATCTCAATCTCCGTTCTAACACCATCTTCGATATTGTAGTCAAAGTCTAGGAGGGTAACTCTGCCACCGTCAATGAAGTCGATGTCGTCCTCCTCAATAATGGATTTTCCAGGGGAGATGCCCCGGGCTGCGATGACGAGGCGCTCCTGTGCCGATGTCTGACCAAAGCCCGCAACCCACTTCACCGTGCTGACACCGTCGAGTTCGGCAATCTTTGCACCCCAGATGAAAGTGTTCCGGAGCTTATCACACAACATTTGCCATTGGGGGATCCTTGGGTTCTCTTGCGCCCGGGACGATGACGAACGCGAGGGAGGACCACTATTTCTTCTTGCTTGTCCAGCCAAGGCTGACAATCCATCAACCCCTGAAGAGTTGAATTCGGGTACAGCGTCGAGGTCTTCAGGGACACCATAGAGCCAGACATCTTTTCCTTGGAACCCAGCACTGACAAGATCCCCATGGAAAGTCGCTGCGGGAAGAGTGCAAGGCGTGAGCTTAGCCTGAGATCCTGGGTCAGGTTTCGGACCCGTGAAATATGTTGTTCCGTTTCTCAGATCTTCGATGCGTACAGCCCTGAACGTCTCGAAACTACGATCGTAAGTAAAGGTCCAGCTCGCCTCTTCTTGGGCAGAGTCCTGCAGCAGCACAGCATGACTGCAGTCACGACTGGTATTAGGGAATAGAATAGACGTAGTCCAAAGCGCGCTGATGCTATCGTCGGCCATTTGGTTGCCCGGGTCATAATACGGGGCTGTGAGGATGACTGTGGTAGGTGGTGATGAGTGGATCGTGGTTCCAAGGATTTGGGTGCCGTCGAACGAGAAGGACAAGGAATCGACTCCGTCGCATTTGACAGCGCGTCTATCTGTAGGTAACGCGCCAGGGTTGACTAGGGATACTTCGATACCCCCTTCGTACGCAGCAGCTAGGACAGACCCGCAGGGTGAGAGGGCGATAGTGCGCGGAGCATGATCCAAGATCAGAGATTGGGTGCGGCGCGGTGGTGACTGTTCCAGATCATAGAGGTCGACCTGCATTTCAGAAGATAACACGGCTAGCATCGAGCCGTCGTCCTTGATACAGGTCGACACGGGACGGCGCAAGATCTTGAACTCCCTCTTGACATCGATATCCTTCCCCCGCACATCGAGAACGTAAATTCGAGATGAGTTATAGGCTAGAATGTGGTGACCGCGGGGCGACGGACTAAATTGCATTCCCTCGCCGCCGGGGCATGACGAGGAGCTGATGGAATTGGATATCAACTTTATAACGGTTTCGCGGGGTCGCAGGTATGCTTCGAAAAGGTTGCGTTTGACTTCTCTGGCGAATAGTCGCCTTAGGCGCGGAAGATCTTCATCTTTGACATCGGTATCGCGAAGCTGAGGATGGCTCGAGGCATAGGATTCGCATTTGAAGAGGTGGAGGGCATAGAGCTGGGCCTGCTGGGCGACTGATCGCCATTTCGAGTTGAGGAGGACGAGAGACGCAAAGGAGTCGGGGTCGGTGAGCTGCAATATCCTATGGCCAATGTCAGTAAACTTGTAAGAGAAGAGAGATTGAGAGAGATAGCAGGGACACAGCCATACTGTTGGATAATCTCGTCCGGGAGGCGATCAAAAGCGGAATCCGGAGCCAGGATGGGGGGTTTGTCAATGGACGACCGTGATGCCACTTCCCCATGTCCTCCAGCGTCAGTGCTGGTGTCCATGATGGACCAAGGGCAGCCCGGTTGCTTGGTTGCTTGCGGCGAAGTTGCTGTCGCTGCGAGGCTAAGAGAGCGAAGGGCGGGAGGAAGTTGACATGATGAATCGTCTGGAGTTTTGGAAGAGGGCCGTTGTTGAGACGAAGTAGGAAGGCAGCGCAGTGCGGTGCAGGAGAAGCAGCAGTAGACGCAGAAGCAGAAGCGAAGCGTTAGAGGCAAACGCAAAGACAACAAGTGCAGGAAGCACAGCAGTGTGAACTGAGTGTGGGATCACAGGCTTTGTCTCTATTGGGCCCTTTGGTCTTTAGGCTGGGACTTGGGAATTGGGGACTGAGGGACATGGACATGCGGCTGCGCGTGCGAACGCAAGCAACATGTGGCGGAGCGACGCTACTGGACCACCTGAAGTTAGCCCATTATCTTTGCATCAGTGGGTGGATGGTGTGAGTGGTGAGTTGCGTGAGGGCATCCTCCAAAACAACCAGGTGCATTTCTGTCTGCCTGCTGCTGGGCTCATTCTGCCCCCCATCCCCCCCTGTTCCTAACGTACTTTACCCACTGATTTGGCGCTAATCATCGGCGTTGGCACCTTATCGGAAGGTACCCGACCAACCCGAGCTGACCTTGCCTAGATCTTCCGTTCCATGGGGCCCCTGGAGTTTCTTTCCGCAGGCAAACATATTTCAAACAGACCAGGGACCCCCTTTCTATCAATAAGGCGTGACGGCCTGCACGTTCTCAAGTCCTTTCTGTTAAGACTTGGGACTTGGGAGTGCTAAAAAGCACTTTGAATAGTAATGGTCAAAGGCCATGAAGGTGAATGATCCCTTTCTCTGATTCTGCGACACGCTTCGAGGTTCACAACACTACCGATAGCACTACATCAAAGGCAACCAACATGCATCCCATTGCAACCACAGCTGCACCCTCTTACCCGCTGGATCTGTCATTGACATCTGGGCGATTGGAACCTGTCTTCCTACCTATGGGAAGGTGGAGATAGAGGCCTTACTTCAGAGACACAAGGCTTCGCCAGGTCACTTGGGAGCTGACAACATGAGGCTGAGTCTTGAAACCATGTAACAGCAGCAGACTCTCTACCACTTCGTTGGGCTTACTCTCTCTAAGCTTATCTTGGCTTCTCCTTGCCTCATCACCATGTGGCTATCGTGAGTCTCTGGTAGCTACTTCAGACACAACATCAAACCGGTGGCGCCTGGCTATCCGCTAAGAACCAACAGAGAATGGCAGACTCGTTCTCTGACTGGTGCAGCTTTGACGCTGTTAGGGAAGACATTGAAACAGGGATGCGGGACCTCAGCGGCAACCTGCGAATCGCGATATGCAGGGAGAGAGCGTACTATCAACTGTGTCAAGTTGAGCCCCGAAGGCATTAATCAAGTGTCTCTTATGAGCAGCCACCAGTCTCATCTCCACATAACTCTACAAGTGAGAAAGATGGGCCTTTTCACATCTCAGCTAGAAAGGTGGAATGCCCCCGCCAACTACCTTAGCCCAACCGCCCGACACAACTCTCTTCCAACAGTCCACTTCCAACACGCAGAAAGCCCAGCGACTCGCCGAAGTTGCAGAATTTCCGAATGCGGATGCGCATGATATATCGTCGTGGGTGCTTCAAGCCTTCAAGCCCTTCACAGCGGCCAACCACAGCGAGACGCCAAACACCCTCCGGGCGAAGGGTGATGCTATTTTTGGATTTCGTGGTTGAACACCACATGCTGAGTGGGTGCCTCCACGGCTAAACCCGCCATTCAGAGACCGTCGTCAAAAGGAGACAGCGGACGCCATGTGTAAGACAGACAGCCTGATGCCATCTTATATTGCTCGAAGCAGTGTAGCAGATTCGTCTTACCAACGGTATCACGAGACAAGTCAGCTGGCTTCACTTTCTCACTTTACCTTTTCGAGGTGCCGGCTTACCTAACCCGGACACGACTCGGCACCGAGTCGGACTACGACAAGAATGGACACCCGGGAGTTGAGAATGTCTCGCCAGCGCTATTTCTGGACCTTGCGAAGTTTTTCCATGGGCCATGAGTCCATGACTGCTGGAGACCTTCCCCAGTATTTCTTGCTTCATCTAAGCAACGGTCCCTTGAAAGATGCCCATATTTACCCCGACCGAATGCTACAGAATAAGGAGCAGTGACGCCAAAAAGCAGGGAGCGATAAGAGCTCTGTGACAGCGGATAAGGATCAACAAGAAATTCTCGAGTCTTGATCCTTGGCACACAGAGGGGAACACGGCCAGTACTCGCGCAAGGATAGAAGCTCGTCGACGGGCTACGAGAACGCGGGAAGCCTCATCTATCAGATGAAGCGCCAAGCCGGCAGCACCCTGCGCAGAGGGAGGAACCGTAGTCCCTTACGCGTGCGTGGCCGTGTTCGTGCCAGGAGCTCTCTGTTACCGGTGCTGTTTGAGCCTGGAAAACTTCATCATGATTCCCTTTTCAGGATGAACTATGTGGCCGTGAACTACTTGGACAAGTCGGCAACTGATCAGAAGATAGCAACGGGGTATTTTTGCGTCAGTTTTGCTCCGATACGATCAAACAGATGACGATGCCCATGTCTCTCCCTCGGTGAACCACTGCCGTCCTGTTACCGAAAACAGCGAGACCCCAGCTCTCCGGCGGCCTGCTGTTGGACTGTTGGACAACGCTCCAGTGTTTCCAGTGGTCCCCTGGAGACTGGCGGGGGGTTCGCCGGGTCTCTTTACAAGGACTTTCTGGCTTCCAGAACCCTCCTGGCCAGCTTTACCTGCGTGCCCTGCGTCAAGCCGGCCAACAGAGAACACAGGCCCTGGCGACGTCACTGCAGATGGGCCACTTGGCAGTGCGCTGACACAGCCCGTGCCCCCTATCAAGTTTGCAGCGCGCAGCCAGCATGGGGGCCCTGGCGTGGAATTGTAGATGGGAGATGGCAGTTGTGTAGTGCGTGAGGTGGGCAGTATCACCCCAGAAAACCCGCATTTCCCACCTCCCGGATCCCTTCTTCACTGAGGTGAGAGGAGTTGGGGTACCTGGCCGTAGCAGTTGGGTAGGCCAAGCCAAAGTGAACAAAGACACGCTCGGCGCCGCCAAGGTTCGACACATTCCATATTGTCGTTCTCAGCGATATCAATCGTCATTCCGAAAAGTGGCCCACCCCTTTCTCTTTGGAACCGATCAACACCCGTACATCTACAGCCTCTTCTCGTCCGAGACTGTCCGCAGGTCCATCTACGATCCCCTCAAGACTCATCTTCGGCGTCTTACCCGCGCCATCTCACTGCTGCAGAGAGTCTGTGAGGCTGGCACGGATCCCTCCTCGGAAACGACATGCAGCAGCCGCTAGTTTAGCCTCATTCTCTCGCATTCACTCACTTCCAGTCTCGCTCCTCCTGCTGCTTTCCCCCGCTCGGCTTTGGGCTCTTGTCTCCCGAAGCAGAGCAGACGGCTTCCCACGGTGGCTCTCACGTGGGATCGCGCAGCGCCGCCGCAGCCCGCGGGACCATATGACCTCGAAACATGTTCACCCCTCCTTCGACCCGTCATGGAGACGAGGAAGTTCAACTGGCGGAGATACTCTGCGCCAGTTGCCATCGCCAGCATGATCCTAGCGGCCCTCTCCGTCGTCCTCTACTTCAACATTCGTGAATATCTCGCTGTTCGAGATGGGGTCCGATTTGATGTCTCTACTTTTCCCCAAAATTCCCTGGCGGTACGTCGCACAAGAGTACTGACGCTGCGTGACAGGCCAACTTGCCGAGGGTCACCGTCGATCTCGGCTACGCGAGGTATTCTGGGAATTCGCTTCCGAGCGGCGTGAACCAGTTTCTGGGAATGCGGTATGCGGCGCCTCCGATAGGAAATCTGAGATGGAGAGCACCTCAAGATCCTGAGCCGAAAGAGGGCACGACAGATGCCATCGATGTAAGGCACCGGGACGTGTCGTTGGATCGAGTGCCACCTCGCTGACAGAACCTCAGTTTGGGCCCATTTGTCTCGGGACGGATGTGACTTATCCTACTTCAGGTCAAGACGAGGACTGCTTATACGCCAACGTCTGGTCGCCAACAAACACGACGGCTGACTCGAAGCTTCCTGTATGGTTATTCATTCAAGGCGGTGGTAAGGTCCCCTCCACTCATACGACATTGCTCCATTTAGAGATGAGAGTCGACTCGTGTTCACGCTCTTGTGTGTCATTCTGTTCTTGAGCCCTGATCTGACACTGCTTAAGGTTACACTTCAAATGCCAATCCCAATTGGAACGGCTCCCAAGTTGTAGATGTCTCGGGCAAAAACGTTGTCTTTGTAAATTTCAACTACAGAGTCGGACTTTGGGGATTCCTGGCGAGTGACCGGGTTCGAAAAGACGGCGAGCTGAACGTGGGACTTTTGGACCAGCGATTGATGATGAAATGGGTTCAGACTCATATATCAAAGGTAAATTCTCATGTTTCATGCCATTTTCATTCGTACTCACACGCACTGCAGTTTGGCGGTGACCCAAGCCATGTAGTCATCCACGGCCTCTCAGCCGGAGCAGGCTCGGTCGCCCTCCACCTCGCAGCTTACGGCGGACGCGACGACAAGCTCTTCATAGGCGCCATGTCCGAGTCGGTCTTCTTCCCCGCGCAGCCTCGTGTTCCGGAGCTTGAGTACCAGTTCAATCAGACGCTGGCTAAGGTAGGCTGCACAGATGACAAGGACCAGATGGGCTGTCTGCGCGGTAAAGACATCAAAGCGATCCAGGACGCCAATATCGCATCGCCATTTCCGGGGAGGGCGGCAAACCCGCACTTTTACTGGACTCCATGTATAGATGGCGATATTCTACAAGATTATCCGTACCGGCTCTATGACAAGGGTTCATTCATCAAAGTCCCCGTCCTCTTTGGGACAGGAAGTAACGGTTAGTCCCGTCATCCAACTGCAATCATGACCGAGGTACTCACATACTCCTTCAGAGGGATCCGTTTTCGCCGCCAACGTCGCAACCCAAGACGAATTCGTCTCCTTCATGACAGACAACTACCCCAAACTCACAAAGAACGAAACCGACCCGATGCTGCAAAAGTATCCCCTGTTGTCGCCACTACCGAACCACAACGTCTGGTTCCCGTCCACCAGCCAAGCCTACGGCGAGACGACCTTCATCTGCCCCGCCAACACCATCATGAACGCCTACGCAACCGCCAACCGCTCCGGGACGAGCTGGTCCTACCGCTTCAACGTCCAGGACAACGACAACACGGCCTCCGGCCTCGGCGTCCCGCACGTGTTTGAGGCGCCCGCCATCTTTGGCATCGACGCGTGTCCGACGCCCGACAGTTTCCGGACGTATAACAAACCCATTGTCTCGCTGATGATGAAGTACGTCATCTCGTTTGTGCGCGATCTCAACCCCAATACGTATAAGCTCGCGGGTGCGCCGGACTGGGGCGATTGGGGACGGAATCAGTCGCGGTACGTGTTTGAGTTGAATAAGAACCGGATGGAGAACGTCGATGATGGGCAGAGGGATCGGTGTAACTTTTGGAAGGGGATCGTGGAGGTCATGGAGCAGTGAGGGAGGGCCTTTTTCTCAGATATTAGAGCACCGCGGACCATGGATAATGAGGCGTTTGCATCTGGTGGGTTGGTTTCTTGTTTTTCTTGTGCATACGAGTAGATGGCATATCGGGTTGATACCAGCATTGGATGATACACATAATGTGTCTATTTCAGATTTCTTTCTACTGCATAATTGCAAAATTGTTTTTAAACACGTGTCTTTTTCTCCAAGGACTATTGATTTTCTTCACCACATAATAGCTTCTTATTGCAATATAATGGACCTTAGTGAGAGAGTATATCAATGCCACTAGAGTCGTTTGACACGATAATGGACGCAGTAGAAAACCACCAGGGAACGACATCCCAAATGGGTAAAGTCAAGGGAAGCTGCGCCGCAGATTCGGGCACAGAACGGGGCCAACCTGCATGTGCTTACGCTCAGCAAAACCACCACCAGTAAACGAGGCCTGAACTGGACAGTTGCGTCACGGACATGGCAAGGTGCCGCCTTTCTCTCATGTGACTGATGTTGTCGACCTCAACGCAGCGGCGCGGCGCAAGGCAGCCGCCTCAACATTCGAAACGAGTCCGTACATTGTCGTGGGCTTTTCATCCCCCTTCCCGCCGCCCGCAGAAGGAAGCGAATCTTGTGAGATCATAGAGTCGGTTTTTGTGTTCGACTCTACGCAAGCTTCTCCGTCTCGTTTTTAGGATTCAGTTTCGCGCTAAAAAGACTGATAACCGGAAAAAGATGCCGTTGAAGGACCCCCAAGCTGAGGTGGCACAAAAGGATGAGGAAAAGTCGGAGCGTGAAGAGCAGGCTGTGTATGATGATGCGGACTGGGAGCACGTGAGGGCATCTATCGATGAGAAAGGTATGCCTATGCGTTCAACGATTTCAGATCAGTTGGGAGAATCATTCCGAGTCTGGGAGTTGACGGAGCAGTAGAAACGGCTGAAGAGGAGTATAGAGAAGACAGGGAACTCAGCCCGCCGACTGAGGTAGCCCCTGAGAGACCGGAGCGCCGGTGGCAGGGACTTCGAAGACAGGAAGATGAGGCGAAAGGGAATGTTGTTTCTGAGCTTGTGAGTTTTCGTTTCCTTTCTGACATGACGGAAGAGGCAGTGAAGCTAATCATGTCTTGTGGCTGTGGTAGCTTTTCTTCCTAGCTGGATTATTCTTATGGGCTGTCTGATGCCTCAACCTTGGATTGTTCCAAGAGCTCGTAAAATCATTAAAACTTATCCGCTATGCAACTTAATGAACCAGCCGCCCTATATGCTACTCCGTAGTCAATCATCTACCACCCACAACCGATGCTCTGCATCACTGGAAGTGATAACCATTGCCTCAAAACACACTTCATCTTATCTAGTAGGTGCTCTCGTTACTCAGGGCCACGAAACAGCCTCGGAGAGAGCGGGTCACGGAAGCGTGAATTCTTCTCTACCGGCTTTGCGTCCAGTAATGAAGTATCTAACATGTACTCGTTAGCTATAGTCGAGGACGTGATGAAGATGTCTTAGATTCTGGAGTTCGTACTTACATTGGCCAGTAACCGTGAATCATTCGGTCCTTGATATCCCTCCGTACCTGAACGAGGAAGAGGTCGACCTGGTCGCGAGACCACTTATGACCACGGGTCAACGCAGCCATGGAGAAGCCCTCGATACCGGTGCGGAGATTCTCACTATTCCATATGCCTATTTCCTTCCATTTGTAGTCCCTCGGCCAAGGGTTAATCGGCCACTTGGTCCTCGTCATCTGGACGTCGACGAATCCAATCTCCATCATGACCTGTTTAAGTGAGGCTACATCCGGGAACGGGCGTCCTAGTATCACCGAGGCCTCTGCGAGTAAGTTTGCCCACGTTTGGAGTGCTGAATCGGGCCTCAGTGTTCCGTCGTCGGACGCCGGGTAGAGGTCGATTTCTTGCACTTCGACCCAACCCCCGGGCTCAAGAAAACTTTGCGTCGCCTCCGGTTAGATATTCGCAATCATTGTTTTTGAGAACTAAGAGATAAGGTAGACGTATGCTTACTCATAACAGTTTTTCAGGTACTTTTGCCAGTCACTGATACCTGAGGTGATAACCCTGCTGTGAATATACTGAAAAGGCCGTGAGTATGTCCAAGGGTCTTCAGCATCAGTGACTTGGAACTTGACGTTGGGTGGAACGCTGCGAGCTAATGTCAGCCTATCTTGTACGCGGCTGCTTGCTGTCGAATGTCGAGCATCCAAGAGAGATAGAAACTCACTAAGTAGGCATCGTCGGTGAGAGATCAACGGCGATAACCTGTCGGATACCTCTCTAAGTATATACCCAAACATAACAGCCAGTAGCATCGGTGGCATGCTTGGAGTGGTGCATATATGTGATAGATTTGCTCACCTCAGCTTCGGGGTGTTCGTCTCCGAAGTCAAGAGCCCAGATACCGGTGCCGGTACCTATGTCGAGTACTCTGCCCACCGTGGACCCCGGTTGACATGGTGGAGCAACTCCGAGCTTGTTGTCCGTGACGAGAAGCCACATTGAATGCGTCAAATCTACCCCGTTTGTTAACAAAGCAACTTGAAGCAAACTTTCTAGTGGCTCATAAGTACCTAGCCTCTCCAGCTCTTTGTCATCGTTTGGAAAGATGTATGCTTGTATGGCATTAGAAGTGGCTCAAAAATAAGGTGGATTTTATGGATTAGTGCTACCTCCATCTTTGTAGTGGTGATAGGTTCTGCCGTTCTCATTCCTGTACTGGAAGATAGACTCTCGGAGGCTGATGCTAGAGGAAGCAGCGTCCTGTGCAGGAGATATGAGCGATGTGAGGCGCCTCCGAGGTCTAGGACCTACAACTTACATCATCTCCAAAGGCTGAATCGGCGTCACCGTGGTTTGCCTCCGGCTGTTGAGCGTTGAATTCTGTTTAGATGTAAGGCGCCAAATGATTTTTTGGAGGGCTCCGTCTTACCTCCTGGTCAACCACAATTTCAACAGGTTGATTGTCTTGCGACATGTTCGGAGTTACAGTTCGTGATGACACCGGTTCATGATTTCTTCTCGCAGATGGGACCAACTTCCCGGCTTTCGGAAACAAATCATGAGAAAAGAAACAACGAAATCAAGACCGGCGCGGGGCAGCAGCTGTTTTTGTGATGGAATTCGGCACTCCCAGGGTAGACCGCCCCTGTCCTTGGCCACGGAGGCACAGAAGAACCAACGGACCTACAGACCAACATGCATACGCGTCTCTAGAAATGGTCATCCGTCGATACAGTGGATACATGGAAGAGGCACAGTCGCTTGGTATTCACCTTATCGAACGCAATGTGACAGGGGCAGGCCGGACCTGCACTATAACCGGACGGTTGGATCAGGCAATCTCATCGCCGCTAGCCTACCATCATAGACCAGCTTCGAAGAAGCTTCATTTTCTGTGCCATGAATAGCTCACCATGAATAGCTCAACGCAAATCGACTGCGGTACTAAAAGCAATCAAATGAAGGTGCAAAAATCACCTCCACACGACTAGTGATGAGCAATTTGGAGCAACGCCCGTGGCGAACCGCTTCTTCGCTACAAAGACTTACATATTCATGCGAACGACCTTTATTCCATAACGTGAAGGTTGCATCGCTCGAATCAGTGTCATATCTCATAGCTGATTCATGTTCCTATAGCGTCTCTTAATTCAGCCATTCTCATTGGTATCCTGTTCCGCCGCCAAGGCCAACTAGGGAGGTAGCCCACCTAAGGGCAGAGCCTCTGTATCGTTATACAACCTTTGACGTCTAGCTTAGGTGAGAGAAATGGTATAGACATCATTCAGCTTGCCGATAACTCGTTCCACTCAATGAACTTCTTATACAAATTTCCCTCGCTAATTTAAGTAATGTTGCACTTGTATGCATTCACGTCAGTGGCATTGACATTGAGCGTCCTATGGAAATATCCTTCAATCCAAATCTGTCTCTCCTCTGGCACTTGCATGCAATTTCCCATCAAGACGCAGCCGGCGTATGGCTCTGGGCCGGAGTTGGGCTTGTAGCAGAAGTTGGGCTCGTAGCGGAAGCTGTGCTCCCAGCTGGAGCCGAAGCTGCAGCCGGAGGGGAAGATGGAGTCTCAGCCGGTGCCGGAGTCTGGGCCGCAGGGGAGGCAGCGGCTTCAGGGGACGGGGGAGCCGGGGGAGCCGGGCTGTCCACCTTCTCTGGCTTACGACCGATGATGAAGTATCTGTACCGTGTCAGCCGATGTTCGCCTCGGCCTGAAATTTGCCCTCCTCGGAACACTTACGCTGGCCACCATGCGTGGATGGTTCTATCCTTGATGTTGTTGCGTACATCAATGAGGAAGACATTCACTTCATCCCGCGACCAATCCAGAGCACGCGTCAAAGCCGCCATCGTGAAGCCCTCGAGGCCGCTAGAGACATTCTCGCCGTGCCAGGAGCCGATTTCTTTGTACTTCTCATCTTTCGGCCAAGTGTTGGTGGGCCACTTGTATAGATCCAATGACACGTCCACGAAGCCTACCTCTGTGAGGAGATCCTTCAATGGCGGAACTTCAACATAGGGGCGACCGAACTTCTCCGATGCCTCAAGGAGGAGGTCACACCACTTAATTAGCGAGTGCTCGTGCGTGAGAGTTCCGTCGTCCGATCGCGGATAGAGATCGAACTCCTGTAGCTCAATCCATCCACCAGGCTCCAGATTGCTTTATCCAGAGAGTCAGCGTGTTGTTCATGTTTGAGGTACTTCTTCCTCAACCCAGAATGGTTGATGTATAAAGGTGTAAAGACTCACTCATAACAACGTTGAAGATACAACTTCCAGTTACCGATACTGGAAGTCATAACTCGGCTGTGAATGTAGGAAAATGGCCGTGACCATGTCCACTCTTCCTCAGCATCATCGACTTCGAATCTGCAATTTGGGGGCACGCTGTGACGATGAAATTTGTCAGAAATTGTATCTCGTACACACATCTTTGTAAAGTCGACTCACTAGCCAGGAAGAGTCGGCGACAGATCAATGCCGTACACCTAATAAACCATCGCAGTCAGATGAAGTCCATGCCATATCATTGAGCACACCAAGAGACGGAGCGACCCTTGGCTCGTGACGAGATGAGCCTACTTCGCAGACTTACTTCAGCTTCAGGGTGCTCGTCAGCAAAATTGAGGGCCCAAATGCCAGATCCAGTTCCAACATCGAGTACCCGACCGACTTTGGTGCCTTCTCTACAAGGCGGGGCGACTCCAAGTCTATCATCGAGCGCAAGAAGCCACAAATGGTGCTGCAAATCTGGATACAATGTCAGAGAAGTGTCGTCGCAGGGGGCAGAACCATGTGAGATAGGCTTACCTAGCCTGTCCAATTCTCGCTCGTCATTGGGAAGATTGTATTCTAAAACTGAGTCAGAATGGGATTCCAGACAAGACAAAGGTGCGAATGCACATACTGCCATCTTTGTATCGGTGATAGGTCCTGCCGTTTTCAAGACGGTAATCAAGAAGAGAATTGCGAAGACTGGTGCTTGATGAAGCTACGCTCTGGAAGATGAGACTGTGTGTGAGATTTTGACCTTCCTCTTCGGTCTGGGGTGCTGCCTCTGGCAGCACGAGCTTGAACTTACACTTCCCACTTCTGAACGAACATCATCCTATCATGTTTACATTCAGTATACTTCTGAAGCAAAGTTGGTTGTATGACGGAAGACTAGCTCCACTTACATCGTCCACGTCAAGCGCCGCGGCGTTATTGTCATGAGCCATGTTGGCCGTGTCGAAAGCTGCAGTCAATCTTATTGAACCACAGTACCGGGTCAAGTTTGTCAACAAGTAAGGTATGTCACAAAATTCGGAGAAAAAAAGGACTGAAGAGTAGCAGCGATGGGGGGGTAGGACTGGGCTCTACAATTCCTTTTGTGCAAAGCACAAAACCGGCCTTGCCAACATGCCCCCGGCCAACCCCTCTTCTTCGCAAAAGTAACCAACGGGGAAACATGCATATGCGCACCGATGGCGTTGCCACCGCGTTGCAAACAAATATGGAACTGAAGAAGATGCGACCGAATAGGAAGGTCCAACTTCGGACAAGGGGAAAATAGTGTCTCCCACTGAATGTATGGTAATGCTTGCCACATCTGACCTCGGTTGCTCCCATCCTTGTCTGCAAAGGCTCCAGGCAAACATCGAGACTGTTAGTCAACTAGCGTTCCCTTATCTATGCCGCTGGTGTCCAACATTGTGCGGTTGCCCAGATGCTAGCTCCACGAACAATAGGGCCTGGCTTTTAACAATGGAAGCCCCGTTCGAAGAAGACCATTCGGCAAGTGAACGGCAACGTAAGCCATAAGCCATTTGGATAGCGAAATTACGGCGAGCGGAAGCTGTTTATTATTTATGTCTAAGCAAGTCACGAAATAACGTCTAGTTATTCCGTCATTGTTCTCTCAGCCAGATATTAAAGCAGGCATGCAGAATTAGAACCGAAGCCGCCCCTCCATCTCTAGTGCATGCCTTCCTTCATGGTTGCTAAGAGATTGAAACTTGCAGCTTGGTGCCGCTGTTGTTTGCATCCGTATGATTCGTGGGTTGCAAGTCGATCTATCCCTGCAAAACCCCCGGGTAAGATTGACACTAAAGCGACTAGAGCCGCTAGATCCCGTCTCGAACGCAACCTCAGTCGACAACCGTGACTCCGAACCATGTCATCAAGATGAGCTCGGTGCTTGGGCCTGAGAGGAAGTAGAAGCAGGAGCCTCAATTGCAGCTGGAGCTTCTGATGGAGCAGGAGTCTCGGAGGAAGCAGGAGCTGGGGCAGCTGAGGTTTCTCCCTTGTTTGGCTTGCGTCCAATGATGGAGTAGCTAAATCGAGAGTCAGAATGAACCTGATAGCATAGAAATCAATGTGACCTACGTTGGAAGGTAACCGTGAATTCGCCGGTTGTTGACATCCTTTCGCACGTCAATGAGGAACACGTTGACCTCTTTAGCAGTCCACTCAAAGGCCCTGGTAAACGCTGCCATGGTGAAACCCTCGATGCCAGCTAGGCCATTTTCTAGCTGGAGTCTGCCAAGTTGCTTATACTTGGGGTCTTTGGCCCAGTCGTTGAGCGGCCATTTAAATGCAGTGATAGCAACGTCAACGAATCCGGCAGCCTGCACCTTCTCTGGGAGGCCTTCGGGATCAATGTAAGGACGCCCAAGCTTGATCGTTGCCTCTTGCAGCAGCTTGCTCCATTTGGAAATCGCGTGGTCTGGAGTCAGCGTCCCGTCATCAGAGTCGCAGTATACAGCAATCTCCTGCAATTCGACCCAACCACCAGGTACGAGGTTGCTTTATTGACACACGGATTAGCTTATGCGGTAATCATATGCAGATCGCAACGTAGAAGGATGAATAGACTTACTCATAGCACCTGCGAAGATACAAATCCCAGTCGCTGATGCTGCCTGTCATAACACGGCTGTGGATATAATTGAAAGGCCTTGAATACGTCCATTCCTCTTCGACGTCATCAACCTCAAATCTGACATTTGGTGGCACGCTGAGAGACATATGTGTTAGCCGATTTTTGCACAACACATTAGTTCTATGAGCGACGCCTACGAAAGGGAAAAAGGAGACGCATACTAGTCAGGAAGGGTTGGAGAGAGGTCAATACCCAGGACCTACGGGAAACAAAAGTCAGTCAAGTATGGATGGGAACAACTGTTTTCAATGTTACGAGAATCTTGGTACCTCAGCATCGGGGTGATCATCTGCATAGTTGATTGCCCAGATGCCACTGCCGGTACCGACGTCGAGGACTCGTCCAGCTTCAGCATCCAACTGCCCAGGCGGAGCCATTCCTGATGCGAAGTCCATTGAGATGGCCCAAAGCTCATCCTGCATATCTATGGTGAATGTTAATGAGGGTCTGTATAGTACATGAGCCAGTGGATTCTACCTAGCCTTTCCATTTCCCTTTCATCGTTGGGAATCGTGTATTCTCAGTCAAAGTTAGAAAAGCTCTTCAATAACAGGCCAGAGTAAACGCACTGCCATCTTTGTACCGGTGGTATGTTCTGCCGTTCTCAACGCGGTAGTCCAGGATTGAGGCTCGGAGACTGGTGCTTGAAGAAGCAATGCTCTGTGTTAAGCATGTATGTAAGACTCATGATACGTTTAAGAGTCGGAGTGTAGCTTGCACATACGCTTCCAATATCTGACCGAGCATCTTCATGCTAAACGAATTTAGAATAGAATCACAGTTCGGGAGGGCATGGTGGCTTTACCTGATCGTCTGCGACGATTTGGGGTGTTATGGTGGTGCTCGGTTCGGCCATCTTGGGGGATTAGAGCTTTGGCAAGTCTCGTGCCGATCTTGCTGTTTGCCTTTCCAATACTGATGATATTAGAGCACTACTCCGAATGTAAAGAATCCTAGGACAGGGTGATGAAGAAAACTGTTGAGGGGTTATCGATGTTTTTGTGACCAAAACAGTCGATCTCAGCCCACCACCCCTCTTGAGAGCTGGGGTTTGGCGAAGGAACCAACGAGCAAACATGCATATGCATCTCGACGGTGCAGTTTCCCCATTGCAGATAATTGCGGGGCAGGGGAAACTATGGTCGAATGAAGAGACAAAGAATGCGACATGGGCATGTGAAGACAACTTCCAACAGCATCCTACGATCTAACCACTTGCCACTTCGGTCAGCCAACCCCTGCAACCGCAAAATCTGGACTGCCCACTGTCGGAAGCCGTCCCGTGTCCGCGGTGCGCCAAACCCTCATCCATGTCTTCGAATTCTTGATGCCTCGGTCGGATTTCTAGTCTCGGTCAAGGAATTACACAGCCAGGTCATCGATTCTCTTCGGATGATGGATGTTGCTGTTGCCCAATAAATCCCCTCAGATTGGATTGGGATTCTCACCAACCTGCCCATCCCCCGAATCAGCTGTAGCCAAGCTTGATATTTTTCAGCGAGATCTTAGAAATACATGAAGATAGGTTCACTGAGTTGAAGACGGAGTTGCTGCTGCATTCTGGTCTTCAGGCGGGGCTGGAGTGGCTTCTTTCAACGGCTTCCTGCCCACAAGAGTGTAGCTAAAGAGACAGAGTTATCAGTCTTAGAAAACATTCTTCATGAGAATGATCCAAGATCAAGAGAAACTTACATAGGCATGTATGAGTGGATTTTTTTGTCCCTCATGTCCTTACGAACACCCACAAGAAAGACTTGAACCTCCTCCTTCGTCCAATTGTGAACTCGGGTCAAAGGTGCAAGAGCCATAGCTTCAGCGGCATCCACGAAGTTGTGGAAGTTCCATTCGCCGATTCTCTTGTAGTGGTCGTCTTTTGGCCAGGGGTTGGAGGGCCACTTGAAATCCTGTTGGACGACGTTCTCGAACCCAACATCGACCATTGCCTCCCTCATCTCGGGGATAGGAGCGAATCTGCGCCCAAACTTCTCTGCAGCTTCTCGGATGAGGGAAGTGAACTGGGCCAAAGGCTTCTCAGGAGGTAGAGTATTATCGTCAGCTTTGATGACAAAATCACCTTCCTGAATCTCAAAATAGCCACCGGGGACGAGATGACTATCAGACGAACAAGTTTGTCAGCTCTGATCGCGAGGCCTCGCAACGAGGAATCGTCAAGACAATGAGCAATGTGAAGACTGTTGGAGATTTGTACTTACTCGTAGGCTTTTTGAATGATCTTCTTCCAATCTGAGATAGACCCGTTCATGAATCGAAGGTGGATGTAGTCAAAGGGCCGAGAATATAGCCATTCCTCCTCGACATCGTCGACTTCAAATTTGACATTAGGAGGTACGCTTAGACGCATCGTTAGCAACTTTGCGGGCTTCACTTGGGAGGGTTTACACACTCTCGTGGCTGAATAGGAGACAAATCGACGCCTAGCACCTATGTCTCAATGTCAGATACCTTGTCCTCTCCTTACCAAAAACTCTGGTAGAAATCGACACCAACCTCCGTCTCTGGGTGTTGGTCACCGTAGTCAATGGCCCATAGGCCAGTTCCGGTGCCAAGGTCAAGAACGCGACCGACTTTTGCACCTTCGTCACAAGGAGGAGCGAATCCCAATCTCTCATGGAATGTGAGGAGGCAAATCTCGTGTTGCATATCTGATATATTCAAGTTAGACGAATAGCAATTATACAAGAATATCCCAGGATTGAAGACTTACCCATCCTGTCATTCTCCCTGTCGTCATTGGGCCACGCATATTCTGATTTATGTTAGTAGATCATTGGTAACATGAATCTACAGCAGGGAGGATAAACTGACTCCCATCCTTGTATTTATGGTAGGATCTTCCATTCTCGATTCTGTACTCAAGGATAGAGTCCTTTACGCTAGTGGTTTCTGAGCGAATGCTCTCAAGATCCTGTTCGCTGTCGGAAATCTGGTTCGATGCTCATCAGTATTTGGTCACCAACTCGCACGATGTTTGCACAGATTCGTACTTCGTCCTCAGCGACCAGGTGAACCTCAGGGTCGTCCTGTGCGGCGGCCATGATGGCAGTGTTTTAAGGCTGTCCTTACGAGTATCTTTAGGTATAAGCGAATGCTCGGGTTTCCTGTGCCTAAAGGCTCGCGAAGTGCAGACCAGTTTCGGAACCTCGCGAGGTGATGATGGTGCGAAGTTTTTGAACATGGCCAGATGAACTGACCCCTCATTGTCAAACCAACCTATGGGCTGCCAAACGCGGCTTGCCAATCGGTCGCCATCCACATTGTCTACGTGCAGCGCACATGACGCAGGCGAGCGGCGACGTTGCCTATTTACAGACCGAGAAAATTGGAGATGCAGCAGGGGAATGGGTCAGACTTCCCCCCGCCGCGGGTCGCGGGCAAACCATCCGCCAAGCTAGTGTCTCTGCCCTTCTAGCTGCTCTAATCAACTGGAGTGTTCACACTGATGGCACAACGTACAGCATCCATTGATTTTTCAGAGAAATGCCTTGATGTTGTTTCCGAACTGGTGCTTCCGAGGCAAAGTCACATCTCTAAGTTGACATGACCAAATTATACGAGGCTGTAACACGTAGTATGAACGGGCCATCTACCCGGCTTGATTAACAACTCGCTACGCTCAGAATCAATGCCGCCATGTATTCAAGACACATTGAATTATCCGATACCCCAGTGGGCCATCTTCTCGAACAGATCCGGCCCAAGCTAAAAAACCTGCCTTGAGTCGCTAGTAGCCAAAGAAGGCTTCGGAATAGCTTCAGTTGAGCTCACTTCAAGCTGAGGTTTCAGCCGGAGCGGTCTCGGTGGCTGCTGCCGGAGTGGCCGCTTTCAACGGCTTCCTGCCCACAACCGTGTAACTATCAATGTTGTTAGATCCAGAGTGCAGATAGGCAAAAATCACTCTGGGACTTACATGGGGAAGTAGGCATGAACCTTGGGATCCCTAAGATCCTTCCGCACCTCGGCAGAGAACACTAAGACCTCCTCCTTGGTCCAACCATGCACGCGGGTCAGCGGCGCCAGTGCCATGGTCTCGACCGCACCCGCAAAGTTATGGAAGTTCCATTCGCCGATTCTCTTATGCTTAGGGTCCTTGGGCCAGGGATTTGTCGGCCACTTGTAGCGGGTGAGGGCCACGTCCTCGAACCCGACCTCTGTCAGGATGTCCTTCAGGGTAGGAACCTCGACAAAGGGCCGGCCAAAGGCCTTTACGGCGTCGCGAACTAGCACGGCGAATCTGGACAATGCCTTCTCCGGCGGCAACGTCCCATCGTCGGCGGCCGGGGAGAACTCTGACTCCTGGATCTCAAACCAACCACCGGGCTGGAGGTTACTGTTTACAGTACTTCTGTCAAAAATGTGATTCACTCATCGTATCTTCAAGGTAACTTACTCGTATGCTTTCTTGATCAACTTCTTCCAATCACCGACTCCTCCATTGATAATTCTGCTGTGGATGTAGTCGAATGGCTGCGAGTAGAGCCAGTCCTCGTCGAAATCATCAATCTCAAACTTGACATTTGGAGGAACCCTGTGGGTAGCAATGCAGTCAGTATTCCTGTCCTGAGTGACAGCTTCGAACGCTTTGATACTTAGAAGAAAGCAGACTTACTCCGAGGGCTGGGTGGGCGAGAGGTCCGTACCGAGTACCTTCATAGGCGGTTAATGAGAGGCCGTTCTCAACTAGCAATGCGAATCCCGGATTGCATGCTTTTCAATAATTGCTCACCTCGGCTTCAGGGTGCAAATCGCCAAACTCGATGGCCCAAAGTCCAGAACCGGTACCGAGGTCAAGAACACGACCAACTTTGGCGTCGGGCTCACACGGCGGAGTGACGCCGAGTTTACCGTCCCACGTTAGGTAGAAGATCTCATGCTGCATATCTGGTAGTGAAAGGTCAGCGGCGGATCAGCTCAAGGCCTAAATTGGGTCTCACCAAGTCTGTCGATTTCCGTCTCGTCATTGGGAACAAAGTATTCTGGCATGGCCTGTCAGATACAGATTATTACCGACCATGGGAGGCCGCTTGCTTACGTCCATCTTTATACTTGTGGTAGGTTCTGCCATTTTCCTGACGATACTGAAGCATGGAAGATTTTATACTCGTTGTCTCGGACAGCAGACTCTGTGCCAGGTCATAATATTAATAGGAGCTTCTCACAGAGAATCAAGATGAAGATGACTAAAGTCGCACTCACCTCGAGGTCCGCCTCGCTGTCAGTTTCGACCTACACCTGTAATCAGAACTCATTGTACAGCTATGTGGTTGTGATGTGACTATTCAATGCATACAGGCTCATCGGCGACCAGCTGGTCTTCGCGGTCCACATTTGCAGGGGTGTCTTGGCACATTGTGAGATATCTTCAACGGAAATTTTTCGCTGCAAATGGTTTCTGGGAGACAACGAGAAACAGCTCAAGATCTTCTGCGAGGCGAAGACCATTTGAAGGGCGGGGAGAATGGCACGCTGATCTGCTTTCGGTTGTGACCAAAACATTCGATTGCGCGCCCCCTCTTCTTGGCCAACCCCTGTCTCCGGAGAGGACCAACAGAGCAAATGCACACTGCATAACGCAGCCCGACGGTCAAGTTGCCTCTTTGAAGAAGAAAATTGTGGGACTCGGGGTAGTTATCGCGCGCACCCCTGGTCGTGAGACAAGCGAACCGTTGGAAGTTATTGGATGTAACACGAGACCTTTGGCAAAGGGTACCGGAGCCGAGGCGAATGTCCGAGTCGGCCAGGGCTTCAACGACGGGCTACGGCAACAGGTGTCTTTGACTATGTTATCGATGAGAAGCGCGAGATGGTTTGAGGTCTACTGAGGGCAATTGATCAAGATGACAATGACTGAAGATATTCTTTGCTGGAAAGTGGCAACCGAAAAAGCGTACAGAGTCAGGAGCTACGAACCACGGTGTCGCCAGCACGACTACTCACTAAGTCTCAAAACAGTTCCACCCGTCCCTTGACAATGATATTGCTTGCTACCATTCTCAAGATTCGGATCAGTTCCTCTGTCTCTATCCTGGCTCACGTCCGACGACGAAGTACCTGAGTCCGACGAGTCAATATGCGAATGGGGTTGCTCAATGTCCAAGTATGATGCAGGCACTTACATGGGAACGTAGGTGTGGTAATTCTTGTTAGCCAGGTCTTTCCGGACATCAGCCAAAAAGACATTCACCTCCCTCCTAGTCCACTTATGGGCGCGCGTCAGATTTGCAATGGAAATAGCTTCTAAACCAGCATTGCTTTTCTCAAAGCCCCAAGTGCCCAGTTCCTTGAACGAAGGATCTTTGGGCCACGTGTGATGGGCCACTTGTACCGGCTCAGCGTCACGTCCTTGAAGCCCACCTCGACCATCAGTGTCTTCAAGGAAGACACCGAGACGTACTCTCGCCCAAAGATGGCCGCGGCCTCCTTGAGGAGGTTACCGTACTTGGCCAAGGGGTAATCGGCAGGAAACGTGCCGTCGTCGGACTGGAACTCCATCTCTGGCTCCTGCAACTCTAGATAGCCGCCAGGTTGGATGTGACTTACACTCATTAGCAGACAGCTATTGAGTAAAGGCCGGGAGTCAAAGTCGCACTTACTTGAAACATTTAGTGAGGTACGCCTCCAAGTCTGCGATGCTTGACGACATGAAGCGACTGTGAATGTAGTCGAACGGGGTGGTATACGTCCACTCCTCGTCAATGTCGTCGATTTCGAACTTGACATTCGTAGCTACGCTGGGAGACCCGACCTCTTAGTCCTCTCTCCCGATAGCTTCACGAATTCAGAAACCTACATGCCTGGTTGCGTAGCAGATAAATCAACGCCGAGAACCTGTTCACGGTCAACACGCATTCAATTTTCATCACTTTTGAGCTTGCCTCGGCTTCGGGGTGATCGTCGCCAAACTGAATAGCCCAGATTCCCCTGCCCGTACCAACATCCAATAACCTGTTAACCTTGACACCAGGCTGGCATGGAGGTGCTAGTCCGATACGACCACCGAGGGCTATAGGCATATGTGATGTTGCATATCTAGCAGTGTTAGACCAAGTAAGCCGCATGCTTGAGACGTCCCAAGGACTCCGTGGAGGTGACATGCCCATTCTATCATTCTCTTACTCATCGTTAGGAATCACATATTCTTGTTACCACAATAGGCAGCACGGCTTTACAAGAGACATGGAGCCTGTTTCTCACTCCCGTCTTTGTAGCGATGGTACGTCCGTCCATTTTCGAACCGATAGTACAAGATTGAGCCACTGAGGCTGGTGCTCGAAGAAGCAATGCTTTCAATATCTGCTCGGCTGTCTTCCAGAGCCTACGACTGCTATAATCCCAAGGAAACGGCACCTGTGGCACGGTCACAAACATACCTGCTCATCCGCAACAATGTTGATCTCGTGATCGACTTCAGCCATGATTACAAGTGTTGGTCGGGCGAGAATGACGTGCTGTAGTTTATCGACGGTGAGCAAGAGTCGACAATCTTGACCAAAGGCATGGGAACAGAGGAAGAAAGAAAGCTGGACAATTTTGTGGAAAAGCAACATGCCATCGCTTAGAACCCCTCAATGAGACTCGAATCAAACCAACAAGAGAAACGCGCACACAACGCATGCCACCGGCGAAGTTGACCCTTGGCAGCATTCTGGGTGGACCCGAAGGAGCTGCCGCCGAATGGAAAGCGAAGTCCTCAAGGCAGGTGTATCAAAAGCGATGTCCTTGTTCTGCATGGTCCTCACACTTGCTTCCGCGGTGACTGACTCGATATGTGACTGACTGTCATCCCTTTCCCTGAATGCGACCGGCACAACCAACATGAACCTCGACCTCTTCTTTAGTTTCTGCGAACAAGATGACAGCACACAGGTTACTAGTCGGAAGGTCTAATACGTGTCGAGGACAGATCAACACCAAGAACCTGAGGCAGACCAAATGTCAGTATACGTCCAAAGAAACACTGTACATCGATTGACGGAACTTACTTCGGCCTCCGGATGGTCATCGCCACATTCGATAGCCCAGATACCGGTTCCCTTACCGAGATGAAGGACTCTTCCAACCTCAGCGCCTGCTTGGCAAGGGGACGCAAGACCGAGTCTGCCTTCCAGCGTCATGAGGCAGATGTGGTGCTGTAGATCTATCGGAACGCCATCAGATTCTAAATCCTAGGACAACAGTAATGTGACAACTCTCACCTAGTCTACCCATTTCCCTCTCGTCATTGGGGATATTGTACCCTTGCATTTCGATTAGATTCCCGCACTAATAAAGAATTAGAATTCCAGGTCAGATTGTGAACTCACTCCCATCTTTATACCGATGATAAGTTCGACCATTCTCGAAGCAGTAGTCTAGAATCGAATCGGAAACGCTTGTGCCAGACGAGGCGATACTCTCAGAGGTAGTTAGCACATGCCGAGCCACTCACAAAGGAGAATCTAAATGGTTTACTTCGACTTCTGCCTGGCCATTGTCTAAAATCTAATTACACAATACTTGTCAGTCCACTATCACCAGGAGGTACACACGAAGTTTTGAAGGACGCAGTACCCCAATCTCCGCCATGTTTCTTCAAGCATCGGAGACTGGAGAGTTGGGTTTGGAGTCACTTCTGCTCGTTGCAAACCAGCCTTATTCGATAAAAGTCGCCCGAAGAACGAGGAATAGGCCACATTATGTGTCCAGGCACCGGGGCAGGGGGACTCGATTTCCCCCCTCACCTTGGTGAACACGAACCAACATAACAAGACATGCAAGCCAACGGCGAAGTTGTCCCCGTTCACAAAAGGCCACGACGCCTCTATGTGGAGCCGATGAAACCGCAGCTTCATCAACCCCGGCCTGGGCAGGTAAAGAGGTTGAGCTCACGTTCCCTGCAGTCCTCGTAACCGGTGTGGATTCCTGGTCATTGTTATTTACATACACAAATAAAGCACGTGGACTGCAGACAACCCTTTTCACTTTTACGTATCAGTTGATCTTGATGTGGGCGAGTATATTAGACGGAAGCCTCCCCCTCAGCGTGCCGTCCGGGAAGTGGATCTGCCTTGCGGATGGAACCGCGGATGAGCACCCGGCTTCGACCCGATCCTAGCGGCCTCAGCCAACTAGAGGTATATCCGGTGACCAGCTCTCTCAATTCGGGTAGGCTTCGCGGATGCGGTTACAAAAGTGCGTTCTCCGGGGATATGGTCATTATGATGCCGGAATAAGTAGTCAATAGTCGACGTTGGTGAATACATGATATCATGAGAGTTTTCATCAAGGAATATGGCGGTCTTCAGGAAGTCAAAGATCTGAATATGATTCATGAGGACTGACAAGGGATGATGCGCTTAAACCAAACACCCGTATTGTTACAGCCCTATGGAGGCCATCTAGACCTGGTCCGATTATACATGTTTCTAGCTCCAACTCCTAGCTTAAACCAAACAGTAAAACAAAGCGCACATCACTCCTTTGGGAACAACTCCGCCGAAATATCCTTATCCCTTCTCTGGTGATTTGTCCGGCTAGAGCTGCTACCAATGACCGTCGGCGCGTCGCCGTCCGTGTCCGGGTCGTATTCGGCATCATCCGCATGTTTCGCCTTCTTCAGCTTCAAGCTCGCTCCATCGTCCGAATTCGCACCCTCCTCGCTTGCCGAGTCGGCGTCGTCGTACGGGCTGACACCTGCGTGTCTCGAGCTCCAATCGGGGTCATCCTCTGGAAGTCGCTCGTGTTCGTGCTGCGGCTGCTTGATGAAAGAGTCGATGATGTAGTACTGCATGGCGTTCATAACGAGCGGGAAGAACATCATGACGAAGAAGATTTGCAGCTGCTCGTTGCCCTCGGTCCACCGCAAGGCCCAGTCGCCGACGCGCGAGATCCAGGGCAGGAGGAGGAAGATGATGAGGACGCAGAACTTCATGCCAAACAGGCCGCAGAAGTAAATGAAGGACTGCTTCAACCACCACCAGGCGTTGGGAGGTGTGCCATAGTTGCCGGACCGGATCGACTCCTCAGGCTTGCCCAAGGGTGTGTAGGCAACGAGGCCTGTCAGAACGCGGAGAAGTACGATGAGGATGGGGATACCGATGGTGGTCTGCAAGACGCATGTTAGTACGATGCCGGAGAGAGAAAGGAAGCGAGTGGGTTGCTTACATCAATAGCGAGATTGAGCAGGTAAAAGGAGCACGGGTTTGGTGTGTAGTCCTCGCCGCGTCTCATCAACCTCTGCGCGTTGGCCGTGGTTGCGGGGTCCAGTGTCACAGAAAAGCGCCCTGACGTCAACATTGACATGAAGATGTTGGCGATGTGGACGAGAACCGAGCCAAACACCTGCTTCGAAACATCGAAGAACCAGATCTTGACTGGACGTTGTGGCCGCTCTCTCCAGCGCTTGAAAACCAACGCCAGCAAGGCAAGGCCGCCCAGGGCCGCCTGGACAATGAGGGCAAAGGAACCGAGCAGGCTGCACTCGCCATTACCACCTTCTTCGCCCTGTGTTGCAGCGTGGGTAGCCGTGGCCGCGGCGACAGCACTCGTGAAAGTCGCGACGGCGCCGTCGAGGGCTTCTGTCGGGGTCGCGATAGGGATCATTGTGTTTGCTGCTGCGTCGACTGCTGCTGTTGCTGTAGCTGCTACGAAGGCGGCGAGTGAAGTAGGAACATCTTGGGCGGCAGTCGCTATCAGGTAGGGTGGCGGAGGGGCCATTGGCCTGGCCGGGTCGGGGTGTGTTGAAATGGGACTAGCAGAGGGAGGGACAGAGAGAAAAAGGGCGGTCTCGTGCGAATGACGGGGTGATGTTTGGTCGGAAGGGGGCGATAAAGCGGCCGTCGGTATGTGGATGACGTTCTTTTGGGGTGGGAGGAGGGTCGATCGCTTTAGGTCGAACAACGGGTTTTTGGCTGACGGATTAGGAGCGAAGGCGAGACAAGCGCATGCAACCGCGTTGTGGATTTGGGGTACCGTAGGAAAAAGGAAGGAATTTGAAAATTGGAAACCGGCGGCCAAAGGAAGAAGCAACACAAGTAATAAACCTCCGAAAAGTCTGGGCGAGGAGGGATGTTTAAGAGAAGAGGGAAGAAAGCAAAAAAAAATAAAGAGAAACACGGAGATAGAAAGAAGAGGAGCGGGCCAAGGTGTAGCGAGGAGCGGACAGGCAAAAAAGGTGATCGTCGTCGGGGATTGATGGGCCAGAAGGGCGGGCTGTCACGAGGCGGAGTAAGAAAGTGACATGCAGCACAGACTTGGGGGAGCTTCAGCCTTCAGCTTAGGCAACTGCGGTAGGTGACGGGTTGATATCTTGGCACCGTGGCGCCCTGATACTGAAGTAGGTATGAGCCACGGTCAGTGAGCGGTCTGGCGTTTGTGTCTGTTCGAGCGAGCACCTCAGGATGGTGATGATGATGAGCAGACCTATTGGTGGTACCTAGCTATTGATGAGTAAAGGAACGATACCACGGATACATACAAAGAGTAAGGTAGGTAATTAGGTACTGTACGTACAATGAAATGGGAGAAAGGCAATGGCCGGGTCCTGACACAAGCTTACTTCTGATTGGGCTTAGCGTCCCCACATACCTTAACACACCTGGCTTTGCCGCCTTGGGGGATCCTCCATTAGTCACTTTCCTACGGCCCAGACTTGCCGTAAACTCGCCTGGAGCAATACTTCCTCTGTATTACGGAGCACCTACGGATACAGGCTACAGGCTATGGGCTAGGGGGGCGGATAGACGGAGTCAGGACAGGCACGAGGGGGGGCCACCAGCCAAGGCTTGTGTGTAATGTTGTTGGCTTCCACGGGTTTTACAGTTTGGAGCTTGGGGGCTCGGGTGGATCGAGGCGAGATTAGGAGATTTTAAAAAGGACGGAGAGACACCGCCGTCTGGATGGCACCGCCGGCGAAAGACATCACGAGATTTGTCCTTTGGCGTAAGGTACCTATCTACCTACCTAATGTAAGGTGAGGTAAGCTCAGGAGGCCGCGGCCAACGAGCGGACGACGGACCGGAGAAATCACCGCCGTTTAAGATCCACCACCCGACCTACCTACCTACCTCCTTAAACTAGGTACCACCACCACCACCTACTTGTTTCTACGGATCGTATCATGCAAAGGCCAAGAGACCTTAAACCGTCAATGTGGCTGCAGCGGCCAATATCCGTCCCAAAAACCATCTGCCCTGCCTGAAAAAGCCGTTGACCTGGGCAAGCCACATCAGGACAGAATAGGACACAAGCCTGCCAAACTCTCGACCCTCTCCTGCACTATCAACCTAAATGCAGGCCGGCCTGGTGCCGAGAACCCCGATTTACGAGATTCACAGGCGCTTGGCCCAATGCCTCCCCCATTTCCCCTGTCTCCGCAGACCACCGAGTCTACCCGCCGGAGCCATTGGATCGAAAGACGGCACCGTCTCCGGTCCTCTTGGAAGTCAGGTACTTACTCCATAGACAATCTGCTCCATTTCGCGAAACGAAGCCCAAAAGGAGCCCAAAAGGAAGATAGGGCAAAAAAGAAAAAAAGGGATTGGAGGATCCGATACGAGGTCAAGAAACAAACCACAAATTCCTAAACCCCAAACCCGTTCGAAAATGCGATACCGAAGCCTTTGATGTGTAACTTAGTTGGATCCCGCTATTATTCGGTCTCACTCCATTTCGGACTCTTGCACGACTCATCGCCATCTATCAATAGAAACATCGTTCCTTTGTTACAGCCAACTAACCATCCACCAAAGAAGTAAAAATCTCACAAAAAAGCCACTCCTCTGCTGTACTATACCTATGCTCCAGCCACAACCTCGCAATGTCTCGTGCTCCCAAATCATAAAGCCGCCGCTGACGGGCCAGGCGATTCTCTTCCCACAAATTTGGCTTTGCCCAGACATCCAAACTCGTCCCGAGAAACTGGTTGCCCGGGGTTGCCCAGGGCAAACATAGCCCCCGTCTCACATCTCATCTGCATGGAAGCTGTCATGGAACGTTGACTTGAGGGGCGCGAGATTATCTCATCTGCTTGTTAGCTTTCCCGATGTACCACGGCATTGCGCATCAAAGCCACTCAGACAATGCATCTTCCAAGTCAAGTACTGCGCAACAATTCTTCGGCTCGGGGTTGGAATGGGGACGTACGGGCACTAGTGTGAGGTTATCGTGGAGTGGAATGTTCCAATCTTCGACTTTTTCGACCATGTTCTGGCCGCTGAATGTCAAAAGATTGTCTTTCTTTTCATGGTATAATTACGATAGGCGAGAGTCTAATATTGCCAAGTCCCCGTTCCAAACACGCTTTTTGCATCCTATGCGCCAAAATACCTCGCGGTAGCCAACATGTTGCCATCATAATACCTTTCATCCTGTAGTGAGCCCAGTGAACATAAAACCAATCTAAAAACAAAACAATCGAAAAAGAAAAAAAAAAAAAAAAAAAACCATCCCATTCTCGACCTTTAAGCTATCACCAGCTTGTCCAAAGCAACACGCGCAATCTCAATAATCTTCAGGCAGTGCCGATTCTCCTTGCTATCATCCTTGCCCTGCGGAACCATCAGGTGCTGATCCGTATGCAGCATCGGATGGGGTAGCCCGGCCGCGACCATCTCATCGAGCTTGTCATGCCGGTTATTCGACCGATCCTCCATCTGCTTGATGACGTCCTTCAGACCAAGGTGATGGTAGGGTACTGTAGATCCCGCCCCATCTGATCTCTGAAAATCGTGTCCGTAGATGTCGACTTTCAGCAAGCCTCTGACGGATAGCCTCCAGCTGTCGGGGTCCATCTCTCGATTGTCAAACGTCTCTATCGCGCCGCAGTCGTTATCCCGTCTACTAAGCTCGCCCCACAGCCCGCCGTACTCGGCGAAACGGAACGTGATATTCCTCTTCTCTTTCTTGGCCTGGGAGGCTTCGTTGTCGATGAGCTCGAGAATCTTGGCGTAGGCGTTGGCTGTGGACGGGAGGATGGCGCCCAGCATCATCATGTTTTGGAATGCCTGCATTGGAGGCGGCTTTGTTATATCTGTAAGACTGCAGGAAGGGCAGTGGATGACGTCGTGGGCCACACGAGCGGCGGACCTAGCTATGCCCATTGCAATCTTGACATCGTTCGGCAGTCTCGATAAGGCGTCCAGGGAGAGGAAGATTTGGGATAGACAGGAGCAAGTGGTGTTGTTGTATGCTTTCGGTGCCCCGTCCACCTCTTTGCCAGTTCCATCCTCATTTTTGGTGTTGCCAGATGTGGATGATCCCGGCGTGCTTGCGGCAGCCGTGTGAGATGATGTCTCTGATGTCGTAGGAGGGGAGAGACTAGGAACCGTCTCGGGCACTTGCGCCGAGAGCAGTTCTGTAAGGCTTTTATTGATATCTTGAGGTAAATCCTCGTCAGCAGAGTCACTTTCGTCAAAGTTGATGCCACCTAACAGGTCAACACCCGCAACCCCAAACTGGAAGTCTCCATTAGGGAACCGCGGCTCGGTGTATGCCATGGTCAAGCTCGACAGCTCGGGCGGCAGCGTCGAAGGCGGCAAGCCTTCCAAGGGGGAGAGGAGGTCAAGGTAGTTCATGCTAGAGTAGTCTTGGGTGAAGAAGGCCGAGAAGTCGGTGTCTAATGTCGGTTGCGTCATGAGTGGCATCTGCGTCTGCTGGTCTTGGTTCTCGGGCTTGTCGGGGGAGGATTGTCCTTCAGCCTCCTCGACGTGTCTACGCTTCCTTGGCCGGCCCATCTGCTTCTGGGCCGAGTAGACACACCTAAGGCCCTCCCGCCGACATCTCGAGCAACCTTCAGGTTCCTTGGTGCAAGCCAGCTTTCGTGAACCTTGTATGGGTTGTTAGCATCTATTCAATTTGGGCTTGAGACCCTCACTTACGACACTCATCACACGCGCGATGCTTCACGACACCGGCCGCCGACTTGGACGGGCTACTACTCTGAGGCATGATTTGATATGGACAAATGTGATAGGGGACTAGAGAGGCGTTGTCGTGGTTGCCTGACAATACCGATGGTTGAATTGTTCTGATTACTCAGAACTTCCCAGAGTGCTGGGAGTGCGGCTTTCGGGAGGGTTATATGTAGGTGACGGAGAGTTCGTAAAAGTTGATGTGCTAATAGGGCCGATGACTCTGAATGGCAAGGTAGTGACAAGCCCAGAGGCACGACGATGAAGCCCTGGCTGCCTTAGCTCGTGGCTTGCTCTCCAGCTGAATCCCGGAGTGTTTTTCTTGTTGCTCAAGGCTGCGGTATGCACGAGATGAAAGCATGCAGATGGTGACACCGACGGCCACGTTGGAAATGCAGACGTAGGTATTTGTGCGTGTGGTCCAGAGGTCGGGATGAGAAAGACGGGGTGAGACACACGAGATGCGGTTGGGAAGCAAAAGGGCAAAGCTCTCCCGGCCCACGGCGTAATTGTTGTAGGCGAGGAGCAAGCCACGCAGCACAGCTTACCCGCGTTAGCTCCAGCCCGCCCCCTAAGACCAACGCAGTCGGGGGTGGTTGCTGTACGGGATCCATTCGTAGGGCAAGGTACATCCGCCCAGTAAAAGTAAGGTAGGTACACAGCAAAACACTGCTTGGCCGGCCTCGTCACCAGTCACTCCAAAGTCCTTTCTTTGAAGGATTCGGAGCGGCGTCAGCACCATGCCAACCTTGCATATGACGGAAGCCAAAGTTCAGCCATAAGTACTTTTGCTAGATATATAGCTTGGTTCACCGTTGAAGCTGTCTTCACTTCTCTGAGTTCATATCAGTGGTACCTCTCTAGCAACAACCGAGACGACCCATCGCTCGAACAGAATCAAGGCTGAGCCACCTCTCAAGGTTCTCTATCCTGCTCACGCCAAGACACTTATTGTGAATGAAAGTCTTCCTCAACTTGACAGAAAGACACCATGAGATATGCTCTCCTCAGATTGGTATGCGAAAGAATTGGGCTTCAACGCCTTTCTCGTGTGTTTGCAGGATGAGATCCCCCGGTGCTTGGACTACCCTGAGGTGCCGTTCGGCGGCACTGTTATTGGTCGAGAGTGCGTATTTCGTAAAGATTTGAGTCATCGGCGTAAGTGCCTTAGTATTAGTACCATGGATGCGGACAGGGCACCGGCATCACGAGAATTCTCTCCCTTGGAGCCGTTTCGGAGCAGCCCGAAGCGTCTTACCCATCACTGGCATGGTCGGGCGGGCTGACGATGGAACATGAGAATACTCACACATAAGTCCTCCATTGGGAATGGTGAGATCTCTCCGTTGCGTCCACGATCCATCAACGTGTGTAAGGAGACACTCGGCGTCGCTGCGCCTGCTTCAGCGCGCAGTAGGCGTCTAATTGTGCCAAGAAACCATCTCGTACCCGCTGCCAATGAGTCCAATGTTACGTTGTAGTGTCTTGAGCGCTGGAAGGTTGCGTGCGCTTAGCAAGACAATAGCTGAAGGACGCCCTGTAGGGCAACCCGTGCACTGCTGCATAGGGACAGCCCTTCCAACCTAAAGTAATAGCCGGAATGGCGCTAGGTATTCGAGTATGGTAGAGGCGTTCAGAACTTCAGGATGGGCTGACAGCCACTGTGGCGCATGTGCCATTCTCCCGGCGGGTAAATATGCATTCTTCTCGAAACTCTCTGCATGTGCGGTAGTTGAAGGCCTGCAGCGTTCGAATCGAAACGTTGAAACAACCAGTAAGATACTAGAGTTGGTCTCCTTGCATCGTTGTGTTCCAACGGGATGCGCGTGGGCGGAATTGGCGGTGTTGTTGTAGGGCAGATTTCGGGGCAGATTTTGGAGTCGCAGTTGGAGACGAACCGGAGCGATCCCTCCACTCTTCCGCCTCGCGTCTCGGTCGACCCCGCTAGGCGGTCTGGGAAACACTAGCATCGACCGACGGCAGAAAAAAAAAATTCCCAGAAGGCGTCCGCCCAAACCGCCTGTGCTTGCATCGCGAACCGAAAGCTCCAAAAATAGCCCTTGACAACCTCTTTTGGCTGACAATTTTTCCACCACCACAATGGGTGCACGACAAGCGTTAGGCAAGCGGAAGGAGCCGCAGGCGGATGTACCTGCTCCTGTTGACGACGAGTTTGGCGCAACGTTGGAAGGTGTCTTGTCCGGGAGCGAAGATGATTCCGACTACGAAGAAACTTCCGAGTCTGAGGGCGAAGACAATGGCCTGAACGGCGAGGAGTCAGAGGACGAGGAAGACGAGGACGACATTCTCAGCGACGAAATACCCTCCGATGCCGACGACGAAGACATTGCCTCGAAGCTCAAGTCAACAAACCTAGGCAAGGACGCTGGCGCTGTCGACAACGATGAGGACGACAAGCCCAACTACCGCGTCGTGACTGGTGCCAACGGCGAAGAGCGCTACGAGTACGACGAAATTAACGCCGAGTACGACTCCGATGACAGTGACGCCCAGGAGCCCGTCAACACAATCGGCAACATCCCTCTTTCTTTCTACGATTCTTACCCTCACATCGGGTACGACATCAATGGCAAGAAGATTATGCGCCCGGCCGCCGGCGAGGCATTGGATGCCCTGCTCGAGACCATTGAGCTCCCCAAGGGCTGGACTGGCTTGACTGACCCCCAGACCGGCAAGCCCCTCAACCTGAGCCAGGATGAGCTGGAGCTTTTGCGCCGCGTACAGATGAACGAGGTTCCCGAAGAAGGCTATGACCCCTACCCCGTGAGTATCCACAGACTATGTGCGACATGCCTTCGAGACTAATGATACCCAGGAAATGGTCCACTGGTTCACAGCCCACGAGGAGAAGATGCCCCTTAGCGCGGCGCCCGAACCGAAACGCCGTTTCGTCCCCTCCAAGCACGAGGCGAAGCGCATTGCCAAGCTCGTCAAGGCCATCAAGGACGGACACATCTTGCCGTACAAGTCGGCGGAAGAGAAGGAGAAGGAGGAAGCTGAGAAGGAAGAAGTCTACTACGACGTCTGGGCGAACGAGGAGGAGCGCCCGCCGCACGTCATGGACATCCCTGCACCCAAGCTTCCGCCTCCGGGCTACGACCTCAGTTACAATCCTCCCCCCGAGTACCTTCCGACAGAAGCCGAGAGGGAAGAGTGGGAGAAGGCGGATCCCGAGGACAGAGAGAAGGAGTACATGCCCGCCAAGTTTGATTCGTTGCGCAAGGTCCCCGCCTACGGCGAGTTCGTCAAGGAGCGCTTTGAGCGCTGTCTGGATCTTTACCTCGCTCCTCGCGTGCGCAAGAACAGACTCAACATCGATCCCGCGTCGCTTCTTCCCAAGCTGCCCCGTCCCGAGGAGCTCAGGCCTTTCCCCACATCCTGCCAGACTGTCTTCCGCGGCCACGAA